AACAATTCTCATGGCCTAGTTTTGATCCTCGATTCTTGCCTTTCACTCTTCCAACCCATCTGTTTATGATGACAAGAGTGCTTTTTTTCAATTTTGAAAAAATCTTATAAAAACTAGAGTATCATATTTTTGTATTATTCAGCAATGATGTTTAAGCAATGGGAGAAGTCACATAAAGTTCTAAAACAATTTTATGTTCGACTTTAGAATGCACTGCAGTAAAACCTCACCAATAAAGGAACTAAAAAGAGAGAAATGAATGTTAAGTTAATCTAAACATGAAAATTTTCCTTTTTGAATAGACTTCATTTTTTGAGTAGCAAAACTGAGCAGAAAGTACAGAGTTCCTATATGTCCTCCACTCCCACAGCCGCCTCCTATCACAACCTGCACCAGAGTGGTACACTTGTTACAACTGATGAAACCTACAGTGACACATCGTATTCACACATATACTGAAGTCCATAATTTACATCAGGGTTCATTCTTGGTGGTGAGCATTTTATGGGTTTAGACAAATGCATGATGTGTATCCAGCATGATAGTACCGCACGGAACACATACACTGTGCTACAAATCCTCTGTACTTTGCCTATTCATCCCTCTCTCCCCTCAGATCCTGGCAAACACTACACTTTTTACCATCTCCATAGTTTTACCTTTTCCAGAACATAATATATTTGGAATTTTACAGTATACAGCCTTTTCAGAGAGTAGCTTCTTTCACTCAGTAACATACATTTAAGGTTCCTCCATGTCTTTTCACTGCTTGATAGCTCATTTCTTTTCAGTGCTGAATAACAGTCCATTATCTGGGTATACTGTTTATTTATACATTCATCTACTGAAGAGCATTTTAGTTGCTTCCAAGTTTTGGCAATTATGAAAAAAGCTTCTATACACATCCGTATGCAGATTTTCATGTTTTCAACTCACTTGGGCAAATTCCAAGGAGCATAATTGCTGGATCATATGGTAAGAATATGGTTAGTTTTGTAAGAAGTTGCCAAACAATCTTCCAAAGTACCATTTTCGTATTCCCACCAGCAGTGAATGAGAGTTCCTGTTGCTCCCCATCTTCACCAGCTTTGGTGTTGCCACTGTTTTGAATTTTGGCCATCCTAACAGTCATGTAATAGTACGTCACTGTTATTTTAATTTGCATTTCCCTAATGACATATAATGTGAAGCAGAGTTATCTTTTGAAAATGTAGAGCTGATCATGTTATTTCTTGGCTCAGGGCCCTATGACTTCTGTCTATAGAATAAAATTCAGACTCCTTAGAAATGCTCCCAAGATTATGTATCTCACCTTCCGGCCCCATTTTACTTATCTACATACCTCACCTCATCTTGCAACATCTCTGGTACTCCTAACCTCTAATCATCTGCATCTGCAGCTTCACAACATATCAGCCTCTACATTGTTGTTCCTGCTCTGCTCTACTTACTGTCACCTGCACACATGGTTACCTGACAAGCACCTAACTATCTTTCAACATTCAGCTCCAATATTTACTATTCCACAAAGCTTTTTATACCTTCCCCCACTACTGCCTACATCATATATTACACCTGTAACAATTTCATTTTTTTACATAGTTTTGCCCTATTAAACTGAAGGGAGGACATCTGATCTCTATCACTTAGCACAGTGTTTTGAACATATTGGTATTCATTAAAGCTTTGTTCAATGAAAGAACAGATATTTTACTCTTTCCATTGATTCTCAGAACAAACCTGTGCTATAGGTATTATCCCAGTTTTAGACATTAATACATATTTGGTTATGCTCTGTGTTACCCTGTTTGCATTGCTATACAGGAATACCTGAGACCGGGCAATTTATAAAGAAAAGAGATTTATTTTGGCTCACGGTTCTGTAGACTGTACAAGGATTATAATGCTGGTATCTGCTTCCACTGAGGGCATCAGGAAGTTTACAATCATGGCAGAAGGAGGAGAGGAGCCAGCATGTTACATGGTGAGAGAACAAGAGAAAAAGAGAGAGAGAGAGAGAAAGGAGATGCCAGGTTCTTTTTTTTTTTGAGACCGAGTCTCACTCTGTTGCCCAGACTGGAGTGCAGTGGTGCAATCTTGGCTCACTGCAACCTCTGACTACTGGGTTCAAGCAATTCTCCTGCCTTAGCCTCCCAAGTAGTGGGACTACAGGTGTGTGCCACCATGCCTGGCTAATGTTTGTATTTTCAGTAGAGACAGGGTTTCACCATGTTGGCCAGGATGGTCTCGATCTCCTGACCTAGTGATCTGCCTGCCTCGGACTCCCAAGTGCTGAGATTACAGGCGTGAGCCACCACACCCAGCTCCCAGGTTCTTTTAAACCAGATCTCATGTGAAGTCAGACTGAGAAGTCATTCATTACCACAAGGACAGCATCAAGACATTCATGAGGATCCACCCCCATGATCCAAACACCTCCCATTAGGCCTGCCTCCAACACTGGGGGTCACATTTCAACATGAGATTTGCAGGGGACAAAACATCCAAGCTATATCATGCTACAAAAGTTTGTTTGGAGGGATGCTGGTTTCTCACGAGAATCCCGTTTTGATTCACTCCAAATGAAGTCCACCAAAGTGTATCCATCTTGTAACATACATGTACATATGCACAAATTCCTATCTGCTACTAGTTTTTATAACACTAATAGGAAATATAATTTGAGAATCTATCACAGGTTGAAAATCAAAATCTATAAAAAAGAAAGAGAGAATCGGAATTGCATTGTACAGACTGCTAACGGTCCTAAAAGAGATGGCATTACAGAAAGTTGTTGCTTGTAGCACATCTCTTTTGAGTGCTGTTGCACCATATTTCAAAATGATGAGTAATAAATATGGTGTCATACAAGGTACCGTGCTAATAATGTTGCTAGTGATAGTGGTAAAGCGTCATTACTCTTAAATAAAGGCTAAATTAAAAAGCTGCATTGCTTATGTATGACTTTATATGGAGCTCTCTAACCTTAACCTTCTTTCTTTCACTGATTCAAACAACTGCCTTTATAAATTTGGATAACATGAATTCTTAAAAACATACTAATGCTATGTCAAATAAGAGTATACTACAGAGTTACCAGTGTGTGTATCCCTGAAGCCAACAGTACTCTTACCTACACAGTTGCAGCTCTAAGAACAGAAGTCAGGTATCAGGACTGCAAAATGGACATGACAGAAATAAAGACATGAGTGACTATGCCTGCCCGAGGAATTTGGAGTGTTTCCTTCACCACAGTGTTCTTCCATAGTGAGACCCTAAATATAATAAGCTGGGGGAGGGTAGAAGATAAACAGATTTGGAAGTCCTTCACCTATAATGAGAATGGATAACGCGACTATAAGCCAGAAGAAAAAGAACAACCCAGTACAGCATTAATCGTGCTGGAACTTTCACCATAAGCCTGGGTCCAGTCAATGCGGTAATTTCCAATATGCCAAAAGAACCTAGGTTGATAACCAAAAGTGAAAATGTTTCCCTCTAGAAGATAGTTATGCATCTCTTCAGGACTAGAAATCACTGTAGCAGAGAACAAAATGAGGCCATGAAATCTGGTTAAGCCATAATGGATACCTAGAGGGTGGCCGAGGAGCAAGTGGAAGCTGCAGCACGCCAAAGACCTAGCTAGTACTAAAAGCTGGGTCCACAAACAGGTTCTTGAAATGGTGTATGGTCTTGTTTGGCTGAGCATACTGTGGGGCTCAGGATGTTGGAAAATGAGGGGACAATAAGACTTAAAGATGGGATGGGAAATGATGCAAGAACAGTTAAAAAAAGAAAATAGAAGGAAAAGAGAAAACTAAGGAAACAGAAAGAAAGTGGCCATGGTGGCTTATGCCTATAATCCTAGTACCTCAGGAGGCCAAGGTGGGAGAATCACTTGAGGCAAGAAGGCTGAGACCAGCCTGGGCAACACAGCGAGACCTTTGTCTCTACAAAAAAAAATTTTTTTAAATTATCTGGGCATGATGGCACACATCTGTAGTCCCAGCTATTCAGGAGGCTAAGGTGGGAGGAACACTGGAGCCCCGGAGTTCCAATTTGCAGCAAGCTATGATTGTGCCACTGCACT